TCTTCCTATATATTAAAATGCGAAGGCGTTTATTCAAAAATATGCAAATCTGTGTGGGTTCAGCTGTTTCCTGCTAGGCTTTGCTCTTTTTATTTGGATTTAGCCAGGAAATTTTCTGCTTAGCTTTAGCTTTTAACTTAGCTTTTTCTTAACATTGTTTAGCTTTTGAATTTTTGTTATCAAATAATGCACACGACTTGATCCTTGATAACCAGTGTTGCCAGAACTTTTTGGACCAACCGGCTAAATTGGCAAAACAAATACAGGCTAAAAAGGGGCTAAACTGTTTCAACTAAATTTCACATGTTTTATTTAAATAAATCACAAGTAGAAAGACTAGTTCTTGGGGAGAAGGTGCAAGTTCAAGTTGGAAAAAATTTTACAATTTGGAAAAACATATGATTGTGGCACATGGTTGGATTTTTTGTCGACGATAATTTGAATAAACAAGTTTGTTAAATTTAAAATTTTACAAACTTAAGCGATTTTAAAATGAAAAATGTATGTAAGAACTTGTTTACTTAATTAATTTATGGGTCGATTATCGATAGCAATCGAACTTCAGTTGTGTTGCTAGTTGCCAAAACGATATTACAGATGGCAACTGGCAACTTTCAACTGACAACTGCAGTTGCTACAAAGTGTGTATACAGGCGACTACATTTTTGTGGTTGCTGGGAATGTTTTTGGAGCGTATTTCGGAGAGAAATTGAAAAGTGTGTCATATATTTTACTTTTTAATAATTTGAACGATATTAACATTTTGCAATGCAGTTTTCTGTTACAGAATATGGCGAAAATAACAAAATAATAACTTGAAATTTTAGTTCCCGTGGAGCAGGCCCTTTTGGTGAAACAAAAGCGAACACTTATTGCAAATTTTTTCCTTCATCAACTAAAGCACCTCCAACCGCACCAAGTTTTCCAAATTGAAGTCATTGCTGTGGCACTTCCTTCTGCGAAAAATCGAAGAGGTGCGCAAGCTTTTATGATCGGAGGTATTGAAGTTGAACGATGTGGTTCATCTGTTTACTAACCAATTATACTACAACTTCTTTTGGAAGTCCTCAATATGCTTTAAAAACGAACACAAAACGATAATAAAAGAAAAATCTTGAAAGTATTAAAGCAGCTCTAGAAGATTGGAATCATCCTCTAAATGTCGCTTGATTGAGGCCGCGTTCATGCAATTCTCTTCCTCTTAAACAAATAATTTTGACGAGCATAGCTTTACTGCTGTCTTTTCTTTAAAACTCTTTATTTTAATAATTTAATTTTACTTGCACAGCTTATTTACAGCCGCTTGCTGGTTGTCGAACTGTCAAATTTCGATTATCGATAACTCTACAGCAACTGACGATAGTTGCCATTCGTAATACAAATTATCTTTCTAGTTGCTTTGCCAGCTGGCAACCGAACCGTGGTTGCGTTGCTATCCGTAATCGACCCATTAGTTAATTCCAATGATTTGAAAGGTACTTGGCTGAAAAAACTGTATTCGTAATCCGAATACAATCTCAACCAGAGTCGATATAGGAAACCCGACAGTTACTACTATATAGAAATTGAAACGCATGTTGAAGTCGGACTAATAAGAAATATACATGTAGATCCTGTTTTTGGCTCTCTGAAATTAGGAATTCTTTAAAATTTCCCTACAATTTAGAATACTCTGAAAAAATGGTTTGCAGGGTAAGTTCTCATCCATATATGTAATACTTCTATATTGCTATTACAATATGATCACAATGTGTTTTCAATTCGAAATCAAAGAAAGACAGCCTATGAAAATGTTTGTGATTGTGGAAGTATACGTGTATATTTGTAAACTACTACATAGAATGAAGTGCCAGGGGCGGTTCAGAGAATTAAACAAACAAATAAAAATTTTACGGTCTCATGTTTCCTTCAAACCGCAGTTACCTCAAACGAATTTTGTTCAAAATTAAATTTTGATGCATAAACGCTCTTAGACTGTTTTTGCACCTGTGCGGAGTTGGCTTGACAACTTGAAGAACGCATGGACGGGCCATAATTCGAAATTTTTTACAGCGAATATGACGTGTATTTACTGCTATCAGCGCTAAAAGTGTAAATAAATTCTCGACCAATTCTCATTTGCGGGGCGCTTCGGAATCGAAACATTAAACTTTGCGCCTATTTTCTTATTCTGAATCGGCATTTCGGCGAAATTTTGCTTTCATTTTCTAAATATTTACTCTCTGTCAGATTTTTGTTCATCTAGACTCTAGGTCCTAGAGTATTTCTGCTTCAAGAAGTAAGTTTTGAAAAAAATCCTAAATTTTTGCGGTTAGGGCTCGATATGTCGACTTGTTTCGAAGCTCTTCGTTTTTTCGATATCCGAAAATGGGAAAATAGGAGGTGTTTTTGCTAACTAATGGCGTTTTCTTTTCTACCGAAATATGTTGCCTTCTCAGTGCCCTCTACGCACAAATACTAAGGAGAGGGCATTGAAAAGGCAACAGTTTTTGTAGAAAAGAAATCGTCATAAGACAAAACTTATTTACACATGAAGCTGTGTGGCATATGATAGTTGACCGAATCCAATAAAGCACGCTATTCGTTTCTGTTCTGGGCTTATTGACGCCAACTGGAAATGCCAACTGATGCCAAGTCCTTTTGTAACTGGTACCTTTATCCTCTGCCACCACAGCGACTGCAGTGTTTCTCATAGATATTCAAATATTATATTTTTTGTTAATTTTTCATGTCAATTATTTTTCGATAAGAATTTGCTAAACCGCTCCTGAATTTTGAGAAGTAAAAATGTCAGTTTGAGTACATTCTCTTATCGGATCTCTCTTTCTTTTTTAATATATTGACACTCTGATGTTGGGGAATGTACTTTAAATTTATTAGCAATATAGAAGTACTACATATATGTTCTCATCAATTTTTTTTTTTTAATACATATGTATGTACATATGTGTAAAAAGTGTATGAAAATATCAATTTTTCCCTTACCTCAAACCTTTAAGCGTGGGCAACAATGATGTCTTTTAGTTAAGGCAGAATTGAGTATGCGCTACCTGTTATATTTATTCTATGTGTTAGCACTATATCCAAACACAAACGCGTGTTAAGCAAACAGTGGAACAATGTGTTATTTTCTAAGTTTGCGAATAAAATTTCACACTTAAATTAAAGACATTCATGACAAACATTTTTTGAAGAAAATCCCCGCTACGGCCTTCTTTAGAAAAAATATATTCGTTTAAAATAAAAATAGGCTTTCCCGAAGTGGGTGCCGCGGCACGCCACGAGAAGTCATAGTATGATCCGTCGGTATTCCCTGGTGACTAAGAAGATGCCGCGACTAGATTTTAAACCCGTATTGGATGACTCTGCGATGATAACAGAGGCCTGCGAAATTAAAATACATCTTTGGTTTTTTTCTAGCACGTCGAGATTTTTTTTTATTGGTGACATGTATATTTTAGAATTTCTAG